CCTTTCCACTGTTACCATTACAGAATGCATATACCTATTCAAGTGAATACATTGAAACAAAACACAATCACTTTTGTTTCTATACCGAATATATAACAGTGCTTTAAATATAGGCATAGAAAAGGTTTAAGCACACACATTCCACTTCTTTCTTTTTCCTGACATCTACTTAAAATTTGAAACACAACCACATTATTCATTCTCAAGCATTTTTCCCCTCAACTCTTTCAAGGAAAATACTTATGACCCTTTAAGATGCTGATCATAGGTTTCCTTAAGCCAATAGTTCTGTGTCCTATAATATATTATGCATATTATAATCACCTCATTGCAGTCTGGACTCTTCAGAACACAGGGACCCACTCTGCTTATCTTAGCATTCTCATGGGTTGTCATTGCCTGACCCAAAACTTGTCCCTTCTTTCCCATGAAGTTATTTTATGGAATATCTTGATAGTACAATAAAAACACGAGTAACCGAGTCAAGTTTATTTTTGTAGGTACTTTCAAATGGCTGAGTAAATGATTACTTTGTTTCCATTTCCCTTCTGTGGAATTTTGGGTTTATTTTCACACAGAAATACTCTAGCATCACACCACATAGTCATCTTGTTAAGATCTGGGATAACAGAGTCTTAGAGCTACAATGTTGTTGGAAGGGCACATGAGATGCTCTGTAATAGACAGCACACCAATAGGCACCCACATTCAGGAAGAGCACATCCTGGAAAGCTGGGCAGCCTGGTTTGCGGCATTGGGATGCTGAAAACTGAAAAGTACATTGGCTCAGAAACTAATTTGCAATTACTGACCTCAGAGGAAGCACTCCTAAAAATTTCATTTGTTAGAAAAGATGTAGCTGGGGATTGAAAGAGCACCCTTGAGTCTTTGTAAATGAGAAGTAGAAGCATTACTTCAAATGCTTTGTTTTGTTCCACTGAAAAGAAGAAAGTGAACCAACAGAAATGCTTGCTTAAATTCCATGCTAGCTGTTAAAGAAAAAATATAAAAGAATCATGACAGACAGGCATTACAAAAGGGACAGCAGGGACAAAATAATGTTACCCAGGAGACCAGTCACCAGATGGGACACCTGGACCATGGCTCTGAATCTCCGTGTATGTAGAGTGAGGTTTAGTGTGGGTACTATAATTACTTTTTATTTTTATCACCGGCTTTAAATGATTATATTCACTTTAACAATGACAGGTTTTCTCACAGTGACCTCCTATTCCGACCACTTAACTCAGTGGCTATGCCATCTGAATTTGCCATTGGTCATTCTTGTCAAAATGGCCTTGTTTGTGCCTCAGTCATTCATTATACTTCCCATACAACCAAAGAGTAAGCTAAGACATCCATGTGAGATTTGGATGGCCAGTTCTCTTTACCCTAACACACTGCCACTGGTGTTACAAAATGTAACAAAGAAATACTCATTCAGTGCCAGGTCAGAGATCTCTGATTGTCCTCCCAGAAATCAAACAAAACTCCCAAGCATGTGGTTCACTCAACTCTATAGGAATTGTGGATATACTATTTTTAATCTTGGTTCAGTGTAGAGTAGTAGAAAACAGTGTTATTTTCAAGGAGATAGTCAAGGCCTGAAGGGGTCCTTCCTGTTCTGTATTTCTTTACTAGTGGAGTTTCAAGCCATTTATAGATTTAGTAGTGGGCACCACTTTTTGTGTGGCTGTATGTCCATATCTTTCTCTATGCTCATCTTATTCTTCCAGATCTAGGAAGTACCACATATTTAAAAATTCCAAATAACTTATATTCTTGATTCCATTTCTCCCACTCTTAGCATCCCATCTCTTTTAACATACTGCCAGAAGCCATAAAGAGTTTCACATAATATATATCTACCACTCACTTTGCTTCATTTTCATGGACAAATAGAGTTTTCAGGCAAGGATTCTCAAAGGGTCATTAGCTCTCCCCTGGGACTTCTTAGAAAGGCAAACATTTGGTTCTACCTAAGCTTCAGACCTAATGAATCATACTCAGGGGATGAGCCTCACTTTCTAGAGTTTATGAACCTACAGATGGCTCCAACAAACAGTGATATTGAGGGGTGATTAGCTCTCCACTCATTCTGCTCTGAAAAATGCAAAAAGACTTTTACATGGTTTTTCTGCTCCTACTCTTTCCACCTCCAATTCATTATTTGCCCAGCAATCAGTAATTAAGAGAAAGAGAGAGACACACACAGAGAAAGAGAGAGAGCAAGAGGGAGGGAGACAGAGAGAGAGAGAGAGAGAGAGAGAGAGAGAGAGAGAATAGGTAAAATCACTCTAGCATTGTTCATCAGGAGATGTCTAACTTGTTCTTTGAGACAGTCTCTCTCATTAGAACCTGTGTTCATCAAATATACTAGTCTGTGTGGCCAATGTGTCATAGGGATGCCCCTGTCTCTGCTGTTCCAGCACTGAGATTACAGCACATGCCTCACATCCATTTTTTTTTAAAGGTAGGGGCTAGGGACTGAACTCAGGACCTTGTATTTGTGCAACTAGTACTTTATCCACTGAGCTATCTTTCTAGAGTCTCAAAGTGATGTTTATTTTTAAATTTTTAAAATAAACCAATTTTTAAAAATTTTGTTTCTACATAGTTACACCTTTCCTTAATTTGAAGTAGATTTTAAATTATCTGAGGAATAAAATTAAGTGGTTTTCCCATGATGTACAGGAAACTGCATTAATATGACTGCATGTTAGTGCCATACCTCTTACGGCTTCTTCCTTATTTTCTCATGGTTCACTATCTCTGGCTAAGCCTTTTGACCCGCCACCACTCATATTTTTCACAATGGTAGATTCCCATCCCTCAGATCCCTCCCTTCCCATTTTCACTGCCCTGTTTCCCATCACCTCTCAACCACACATTGTAATTTCTGCATGCATGTTTGTTCTATTGTGTACCTTATAGCTGTATGCTAGGTGTGAGATGTGGGGTTGCCTTTGTTTATCTCCACTGTGTAACTCTCATGGTACCTATCATAGGAAGGATATGTAAGGAAAAAAAAACAATAACAACTTGCTGATTGGAAAATTACATACAATTATTATGAGGGATGGTATCAATTAAAACAAAATGAGCTTGCTTAAGGATTCCCAGATTACACTCTGGTATGTAAGGGGCAAGTGGGCATTCTTATGGACATGGAAAAGTCACACCTACTCGAAACTTAGCATTGGTGCTGAAGTGTATCCTGAGAAACACTAAGGAACAAATTTAATTTCCTCTCTAATATATAGTCATAATTTCTGCATAAGCCAAATTGCTGCAAGTCTTGACTATTAGGCATATGCCTTTAAACTTGGATGACTGAATTTGTACCACAGGGATACTAAAAAACAATTAGGCAGGAAACAGTGCTTTGATTTTTATTATTATTATTATTATTATTATTACTATTTAGGATTTTGTGGCACAAGTCTCACTATCGTATCCCATGCTAGCCTCAGACTGTCTACTAGTCTCAGACTCCCTAGTCACTAGTCACAATTTCCAAAATCAAACTTGATTCTAGCTTTTTATCATTAAGTTCTAAATTTAACCTTCTGAAAGGCTTTTTCCTTTAAATTTTTTTTTTTAATATAAGTTTGGTGTGTCTTGGATTTGGCCTAATTTCAGCCGCTTTCTTTACTCTTGCCCTTAGCCATGACTGGTTTCTGCTAACTGGCTCCATCATTCTCAGACACCAGAACGTAGTCATTTGGGTGGCACTCCTCAAAGGAAAGAGAACAGACATGTGTAAGTGAAGTCAGCACAGGGCAATGTGTGCGTCAGATAACTGGTCAGCAGTATTTTGACCAGTTCCTAGATCTAGCTGTCATACTCCACCCTTTCACCTCAAGTTATCTATTATTTTTATTTCTGACTGTGAGTTTCCTACACATTTCAAACTTAACTTGACTTCTCTTCCTGAATGATCACATTTGTGCTAATCATAACACCAAAAAGAGATATACCTTGGGTGTGTCAGCCTCTTTTTTCATTAATTGCTACAGTGTCTCTGAGGTTCAGACTGGGGAAAGCCACAGGCATATACCCTCTTTTAATGAGATACAGAATTAATTATCTGTGATGGTAACTATGATGATCAACTTTATATGTTAATGTTATATGTTATATGTTAATATGATTGAACTACAGAACATACATGTATTCAGCAAAATATAATTCTGTGGATACCTTCAAAGCTATTTCTAGATAAATTTAATATCTGAGTCAGAGACTAAGTAAAGCAGATTATCCTTCTCACAGTCCTCCCTACCCCAAGCTTGCATGTGTCTCAGCCAATCCAGTTAAGGACCAAAGAGGACATAAAGATGGAGTAAGAGTGACTGTGTTCTCTTTTTAAGAGGGACATTGACAAGCAAGCAGCTGCTCAGTTAAGGACACACTGTATAGAAAAATAGAAATGTTACACAAAGGTATTGTTAAGAGGTAATTCTGAACACAAAAGCTTAAAATGGAATGATAAAATCATAAAAAAATTATTACTATCAAATGAAAAAGGAAGAGAGAGGTATTGGTCTCCTTAACAAATAAGCTTTTAAAATGTAACTCATTAGAAATATGAGTAAGATTCAATGAAGGATTTCACAGAATTAAAAACTAGTATACAAACTCAATGCTAGGCCATCAAGCTGTCTCAGCAGTTATAAGGAATTTGCTGCCAATCTTGAATGCTTGAGTTTGACCTTAGAAACTCACATGGTAAATAGAGAGAGTTGAGTCCTTCAATTTGCCATCTGACCTCGACATGCATGCCTCCCCTCAATCAAACCCAATACACACAATTATTGTCATCATTACCATCATTACTACAGTATTTGTGGGTGGATGGGTTATCACAGAGCCTGGAACAAATTGCAAGTTCCATTTATATGTGCATAAACACATAAACAGGAAACAAATATCTATTTGACAAATTAATACCCCAATTATTATCATACCAGGAAAAGAGAGGAACAATCAGAACTCACATTGAGCTGAAGTTCATCTGTCCACTGCCCAATGAGACGATAACCAGGGTTGGAGGTGTTTGTTGTCTGGTACTGGAAGATATCATACCGCCCAGGGGCATCCCCATTTTTGTTAAACATCACTGGGGTGCCAGCACTACCTGAAGGACACAAGAAAATGCCAGAATGAAGCAAGATTCCTTCCATCTTCTGAGTGATGAAGTTCGGAGCTAACTGTATTCCTAGTAATATGGTCTCTAATGTTCTCTCCAGCTAATGGCAGGTCATCTCTACAGTGTCTGCACTATGGTAACAGAATGTTGGGAGAAAACATCTCTGTTCCTTTGCATGGCTCTATTCTTGATCTTTCTGAAGATTTTTTCTAAAGCTTTCTCATAAGCAAAAATCAATCCATGAATTAATTTTCAGAGACAAAAATATGTTTTAACACAATGCTGCTGCTAGATGTGATTGCAATATTCATGATGGCTATTTTGTTTTGTACTTCACATTAAATTGAAATTAATAAAGAGTAAGTTCAAAAATAGTAATTGTTAAAATTGATACATCATTACAAATAACCAAAATAATTCACTTAAATGTATGTTTCTCCCCTGACTGAATTTAAGTACTTCTTATATTGATTATTTCTAATTTAGAGAGAGCATGTAGGAAGTAAATGCCAAACAGTGTGCCTGGAAGATAGTCCATAAACATTATTTTCATCTTCAAGCCTTACTTAATTAGGTCTTGTTAAAAGGTACACTTTTGATGAAAAGTGAGATGTTTCAGCAAGTGAGAACATCTGTTGAGCAAATCTGAGAACACGGATTCAAATTCTCAGCACCTCTCCTTCTGTAGTAAAAGAACTGAAATATCAATTTATTCAATTAGGCAGGTGTTTCACATTTATATTTTGATGCACATACAAAAGTGAGCTTGTAAAATTGTGTCATTGTCTGATGCTTGTAATAACTTTGCTATTGGAAACAGAGACAGAAGGGTCTCCTGAACTTTCTGGCTGCCAGCCTCGCTCCAGGTTCAGTAAGAAAGCATTTTTAAAGGAAATGTGAGAGATAAGGCTGTGAGTGGTAGAGGACACCTTATTAGGCACATGAATACCGGACACTAAGAACAAACCCACATCCAGAAAGAGAGATTCTATATTGGGTTTTAAGAGCTATATGAACTGTGTCATCTTACTGAATGATACAACATCATAGCTAGGACAAAGGAACATCTATGGTACATATCTTCTTGTAGTTACGAATTACAGATTTTATGATAGATCTGAATTTCAGAAAAGAAAATCATAGCTTGTGATGGGATGCAAAATGGTCCCAATATGCCTGTTCTGTAATGATGTGACAGAGTTCATGGCCTTAACATGTATAGAAATTCCTGTATAATGTGACTTGGTCCAATTTTCTTACACCAGTCTAACTAAAATAGACACAAAAGGAGCCAAAAGCAGTGTATGTGTGGGTGTATATGTGTCTTATGACAAAAGTAGGTGTGTTTGGAGACATTCATTACAACTGAAATGGGTTATAGAATCTATGAAACAATAGGGAATAGATTTTTATTCAGTCTTCAGAAGGATAATAGACTTGCCTTCACCATTATAGGGGTCCTGGGAAATCTATGGTGGTCTTCCATATTGAAGATATATGAGCTAGTCCATGTTGTGATGGCTAAATTGTTGGTAACTTTGAAACACCTGGGAAGAAGGAGCCTCAATTGAGAGTGTATTTCATCAGATTGGCCTATGGGTCATTTTCTTGATGGCTAATTAACCTAGGAGATACCATCACTAGACAGGGTTATCTAGCCCTGTATAAGAAAGATAGTTTAATGTAAGCCAGAAATCAAGCCATTAAGCAGTATTCCTAAGTGGTAGTCTCTGCTTCAGTTCCTGCCTCCAGATTCCTGTCTTTATCTCTCACTCTGGAGTCTTTCCGTGATGTCTGTGACCTATTAGCTGAAATAAACCTTTTCTTCCTCTGAGCTGTGTTGTGGACATGGTAATCATCACTTGGGCAACAGAAAGCCAAAGTAAGGCACATGTGCATTGTTTAAGACATTAGATTGTGGTTATATTTAGAGGTGTGTGTGTGGGGGGGGTGATTAGGTAGGAATTAAAAACACAGCTGGAGGACACAGAACACCAACCTTCCTCATCTTACAGTTAAGAAATTTCTTAAATTCAGGTGGGAAACTTTTCTTGTCTGTGACACAGATAATGCCACCAGATAGCACAGATAATTAAACCAAAATAATACCTAGTAAAAGGTTTTTGAATTTTTGAGACAGATTTATATTACAGTTTGATCTCGCAGTATCTGTGTGACTTGAGTAAATTATTTGAATTTAGCCAACTGTCTGCCACTGTGATGCCTTTCCATAGGGTTAGTGTGCATACTGAATGCAATAACCTAACAGTGTGCACACTCCTGCCTGTGCCCTCAGGTAACAGTCACCCCATAGTAATGCTTTTTTAAAATGAGATCTGTGAATGTGAGTGTTTGTGTGACTCTATGCCACATGTACAGGTATGTGTGGAAGGCAGAAGAGTGGGTTGGTCCCCCCTGGAGCTGTAGTTTCTGACAGTTGTCTGTCACCCAGTATTGGTGCTGGAAACTTTACTCTGCTCCCCTGCCCCTGAAAGAGCAGTAGTCACTCATAACTGCTGGAGCATCAATCTAGTTGTTTAATGATTTTGAATAGTGTTTATGTTGTCAGTGTTTATTTCCTTATTGTTTGAAGACCAGAAATAACTTATAGATTTGGTTAGGCAGACAGAAGCTTTTTTAGTGCACTTGTGTTGCTCTTTTGAGATCCAATTAAATTTTTTCCCATTTCTATAAACATTTTCTATTTACCAAACAGCAGTATAGCAATATATTGTCCTTAGTGGGAGTGGGCACCAGAAGTCTGTGAATATTGCTCAGATCCCACCAATTTGAGGCAGTGGTTTGTTTGTGGTGAAAGAAATAATTTCAATTTGCTGCTTCTATGCTTTGTCAAGAAAAAATCACCAGATTTAAAAACACTTCATCACAATTCTTTTTAAAAATATTCTTTGAAACCAGGCGGTAGTGTCACATGCCTTTAGTTCCAGCACTCGGGAGGCAGAGACAGGCAGATCTCTGTGAGTTTGAGACCAGCCTGGTCTACAAGAGTTAGTTCCAGGAGAGGCTCCAAAGCTACACAGAGAAACCCTGTTTCGAAAACAAAACAAAACAAACAAAAATATTCTTTGAAATTATAATATAATCATATCATTCTATCTTTAGCCTTTCCCATACTCCCTAACTTCCTAACTTGTTCTCTCTCTCTGTCTCTAATTCATATCCTTGTCCCCATTTTATTGTTGTGACATATAGCTTTCTGGGTTACACAAAGCGTGTGTAACAAATGATACAACAAATGACAAATGATACAACAGAATTTTCAACAATGGTGTCATGCTTTTTAGCAAATATTCCAGGTATGTAAGGACAATAGATGAAATGTGATGTTGCATGTCATCAGGGAGAAATGTGGAAATGTGAGTCCTGTCACTGAGCAGCAAGATATTGCTATTCATATGCCCAGTCTTTTCTCTCACTTGGGATGCTTGGACTCATTTTGTGCTTTATTTTTATACAGCATTTTCTAGTCATTAAATTGCATGGCTGGGGCCATTCACACTTTGTGATCAGATAGAAAGAACATCTGAGACCCAGAGCTCCAAGCACTCTCATGTTCACTGGCTCAGGCTTCATCAGAACAGGACACATGGACTAATCTTTCTCCCTTCTCAAAATCTACATGAGGGAAAATGATTCTTGTCATGCCTCTTCCATTCCTATTAAAGTTCATGTTCAAAATTATAGTAGAGGAGATGAAAACTTTATCTAAATGATGATTTCTAATAGTGTATTTTGTACCTCTGACCTTCTGAGTCTATTCTTTAATGAAATGGGCTTATTATTCCCGGAGTGTTTTTTTTTAAATTTTTTAATTTTTTTATTCTTTTTCCATTTTTACATTTCCCTTTAAAAGTACCTACTCATGGACTCATTAAAAGGGAAAATAGGCAAGAGACTTTGAGAACAGAAAAAAGAAAAGAAAGAAAGAAAGAAGTCCAGAGAAAAGGAAAGAAGATATCAGAGTGGTGATTGCCTGCAGAGATCTGTAAGGTGTGAGGGACAGAATGCTGGAACTCTAAGTAAAAGAACTAGGGCTACCAGCCAAGATAGGCCGTGTTATAGCCCATGAAAGCACAGTCACAGACAGGGCTGGCACAGAATTACCCTTCATAACTTCATTGTGAACTACGGGATTATATATTTTATTTTTAAATTTTTATGTTTGATATACAGACAGACCGTGAGAGAGAGAGAGAGAGAGAGAGAGAGAGAGAGAGAGAGAGAGAGAGAGAGAGAAAGAGGGGAAGCCCACTTAGAACTCAACTTCAATTTATACTTTAGAAATTCTATAACATCCTTTCAAACTAGTCACAAACAGATTCAGATAAAGTGAACATGCGTCTCATGTACCTAGATAGGAAAGCAAAATAATTGATATTTTCTGTTTTTATAATATACACCTAACTTCCATTTCTTTCCTAGAAATCAGTAAATCTAGCTATAGGCATATTCCTGAATAAATTATCTAGTTATACAGAGATTATTTCAGAATTTTATATACCAGATTGTTTTAAGTTACATTAGGAAATTATTCTATTAGCCCAATTAGTCAGGGTGGACACAATTAGAATGCATTTGCACTCAGGTGTCTGCATGTATTTGTGATGCAAAAAAAAAAAAAAAAAAAAAGAAAAGAAAAGAAAAAAGAAAAAAAAAAGATCAGAAGGAAAAAAAGAGCTCCCACTTGCATTCTTAAGAGGTTACCTACTTGGAGGGGCTGAGGTCATACTTTTCAGACACTGTTATCAATTCCTGAAACAACATTTTCCCTGAATTTGAAGGTCAGAATTATTGAGTTATACTCAACTGGTCTAAAGATATGCTCCTAGGGGAAAAGGGCATTTCTCACCAATGTGTTAGGAGAAGTTTTTATGATTATAAAAAAAAGTCAAAATCTTAACTGTGCAAAGGATAGCAGAATTCTCTATAGCAGATTGCAGAGATGCAAATTATAGATTGGTCCCTGCAATTTCATAGTTGTAAAGTGGGAGCCAGATATTTTCTTCTCTATGCACATTCATTTATTAACTGGAAATGAAGAAAGTAAACCAATATATATATATATATATATATATATATATATATATATATATATATTTCTGCAAGGAGTTCTGGTATTTCGGACTGAAAAAGATATTCTTAATAAGATCCTAGTTCTAGGTATTCTTATTTATTCTGAGATGCCATCTTTGACGAATAGTTAGGTAGATATATACAGCATAAGGCACATATACATATCTTCATGTGTATCTATTTTGATACCTATCTGTATAAATATATATAAATTTGTGTGGATATCTGCAATTTTAGTCATATACAATTTCTATTAATTTACTGCTCTGACATGAGGTTCAATATATACTATGCATTTAAAATTTTCTCAGTTCTATTACCTGCAAAAGCTAGTATCAGAATTGTGAACAACTCCAAAATGCATATTTACTAGCTGTTCTGGTTTATTTTTAATGTTTGTTTTTGTTAACTTGACACAAGGTAGAGTTATCTGTGAAAAGGAACTTCCATTGAGAAAGTTCCTCCATCATATTGCCTGTAGGCAATCCTAGAGTACATTTTCTTGATTAATGATGAATTGAAAGGGCCTTGCACATTCGGGATGGTGCCACCCAAGGGCAGGTGTTCCTGAGTTGTGTAGGAAGGCTGGCTGAGCAAGCCATGGGGAATAAGCCAGTAAGTAGTTTCCTACATAGCCTCTACTTCTGGGTTCCAGACCTCACTTCCTTCTATTATGTAATGTTTTGTGAAATAGAATCTAAATAAACCCTTTCCTCTCCAAGTTGATTTTGGTCATAGTGCTTTTTCTTTCACAGCAGCAGAAACCCTAATTAAGACACTAGGTATGTGAAATACCTGAATATGGTATTTTTTGTCTCTAGCCTTTAATAGTTAGGTATTATTTCCCCAAGTTTACTGTATTCATGTTTCCTTGTTTATTGTTGCTATAGTGCTAATTTGTAATACAGGTAGAATTTTAAAATATATATATTTATTATTTTTTCTTATTTTACATATCAATCCCAGTTCCCTCTCCCTCCCTCCCTTCCATGTCCCCTGACTCCCCCCCCTTGTCCCATTTACACACTCCCCACTCCACAGGGAGGATGATGCCTTCCAGGAGAGATCATCAAAATCTTTCAAGTCATTTGGAGAACTGTCTAGGCCCTCCCTCTTGCCTCTGGAGAGGCTACCATAAATGATCTTCACTGATAATGAGATTGATAACTAACTTATATGCCGTCATAGAGCCCTCATCTAGTAGCTGATGGAAACAGAAGCAGACTCCCACAGCTAATCTCTAAGCCAAACTCCTGTAATCCAGTTGCAGAGAGGGAGGAGTCATAAGAAAAGGGGTCAAGACCAGGCTACAGAAACCCACAGAGACAGCTGACCTGAACAAGGGGGATCTCATGGATCCCCAGACTGATATTTGGCAAACCAGCATTGTACCCACTCAGACCCCCTGAACATGGGTCTCAGTCAGAAGGCCTGGGCAGCCTAAGGGACATCTGACAGTGGAACCAGGATGTATCCCTGGTGCATGAAAAGACTCTGGGAGCACATTCCCCATGGAGGGTTATTCCCTTAGCCTACAGGTAGAATTTTTTGTTACAAGATCTATTGAGTTTTAATCGAATTCCTTAAGTTTTGTTATGCAAAGCATCAAGACATCTTTAGACTCAGACTATAGAGAAAGTATTTTTGCCTGTCACGTTTGCACTATTTATTTATTTTGTCTACTTATGTTTACTAGTTTCTTTTAGGTAGCTTATTTTAGGAGGATTTTGTATTTTGAGGGGTAGGCTCATAATCTGAGATGTAAGTTTATACTACAATTTTAAACTATCCCTTATGACCTTGCGACTATGCATCTCCTGCCTCATTTCCTTCCTTTATTTTCTCTCTTCCTCACCTACGTTCTCTAAAGAAAAAAAAAATGGCTTTATATGAAAGATCTGGATTTCAAGAAAAGAACATACCATAGCCCTCTCACATGTAGTCATTCATTCTCTTTTCTATGTTTCATTTCTTCACCCATTCCCACACTGGTTTGTTCACTTGAAAGTACACAATTAGCATGGTTATGATCTTACTTGAGTCAATGGCAATGTACTTTATGTAACTTATGAAAAAGGAGATGATATTTGCTTAGCATTCCCTTCAGTACAGACATTTATAGACTCACCATTGAAATTAACATTGCGGATATACTTCAACAACTTCTTTCCCCCTGCTTGCTCCATCTCTGGGCATACTCCCGGTAATCAGCACACAGATCCTTATTCATGTGATGAAGGGCATGCGCCATGGCGTAGACAGCATCAATCACAAACTGAACTTTACCCTCCTGCTCATAATTGGAGTCTTTTCCAATTCGCTCCTGTCCTGCACATTAAAACAAGAAACACAGACAGATTCGAGTTGATTGGGAGTGCACATTTCCATCTGCTTTTGATCTTGCATGAAGATAATAAGTATCTGGGAAGACTAACAGTGCAAGCCACTTAGTCACCTGTGGTCATCATGTCCAATTTTTTTCTAATTTGGGAATTTACTTTTAGAGACCTTCACATTGACTATTTGGATTTATGACATACAGCACAGAAGGACTTCAAAGGAGCACTGTGATGATGTCTTTTGTCATGAGCCAACATGGAACTTGGAGTAATGTGCTCTTACCACACCTGTTTCAGTTTGGAGGGAGTTGAGAGATCTATATTAAAATCTTTAAGGATTGTTTGCTCTGGAAGGGACAATGGTATCATGACAGACATAAACACACAGGTCTGCAAGCCTGAACTCTCATTATCTTTCCTGTACCTGCTTTCCTGTTGTGCTCCTGTGGTCATTACTGGAGACTTGGGTACTCAGAGCAGAAACTCTGGTCTTATTATTTTTATAACATTTCTCTCTCCCACTGTCTCTCACAGACAGATGCAATGTATGTCACAGTCTTACCAATTCTATCTCAGACAATACACAACATTTTGGACACACTACCAATATTTGTGTTTTAACATGTCTTGATCTTTTATTATAATGTGAGACTAGAGGTCTTTATTTAATGTTTCATTATTCATGTTTATCTCTGCAAATGGCACAGCTCACAACCATACTCAAGACTCATTCAGAATCTCTTACCAGCTCCCCACTAACCACAGAATATATATTAAGTAACCCTCTTCCCCTGTTCACAATAGGTAGTCATTCTTCAGCTTGGCCCCATCTGCACAATCATGGTGACAGCTGACAAGGACTGTGTTTCCATGCACATTGGAAATACTTTTTATCTTTGTTCTGCTACTCTAAGTTCTACCCTCACTTGGAGAGTTACATAACCTACCTCCTTATTCAACTCATGGGAAACAATGGTGTGCTCAGTTTGTCATATCATAAACAATTGTATTATCATATTGACCTTCCTCCATCCTGTCTCCAGGTTTCTTTGTTTTTGTGTGTGGTGATCTATTGTTTATGATATAATAAAGCCACTGAAGACTGCAAAGCCAGCCACACTAGTTACCCATAGAAGCTGGGCATCAGTGGTACACACCTGTAATCTCATGACTCAGAAGACAGAGGTAGATGGATCTCTGTGAGTTCAAGGTTACCCAGGGCTACATGAAAGTGAATCAGCCTCAAAAAGGAACAGAGTTCATACCATTAATCCCATCACTAGAGAGGTTTATAAGGAAGAAGCAAAGGGCCTCGTGTGAGATTCAGTCACATGGAACATGTATCTCATTTCAGCCTTGGTAGAGGTAAGAGCTACTGGTTGGCTGCTTTGCTTCTCTGATCTTCATCTTTAACCTCAAAATATGTTTCTTGGCTTTTATTATTTGTGTTATAGGTGTGTGTGTGTGTGTGTGTGTGTGTGTGTGTGTGTGTGTGTACTTTTAGTATTCTTTTTAAATTTTCCTTTATTTTAGAGATTATAATATAATTTTAACAATCTCCCCTTCTCCTTCTTCTTTCTAAATTTTCCCATATACTCTCCTTGATCTATTTCCAATTCATGGCCTCTTCTTTCATTAATTGCTGTTATAGGCATATATGTATACACAAATATATCCTTAAATACAATGCAGTCACTTAATATAATGTTACTTGTAAATATTTTCAGGGATGACCAGTTGGTATTAGATGGCCAATTACTGCTCACTTCCCTGAAAAAGAGTATTTTCCTAATCTCAGAATTGTGTATTTGCCCACAGTTCTTTATTGAGGCCTTGTGGATTTCTCTGTCTACTCTTACCTGTCTGTTGGTATTGTCCTTGTTTATGTTAATGTGACCATGCTATTGGGATTTTACTTATAAGGAGACATAATTAACAATAACCTTTTTCCATGTCTTCTGTACATCTGTGACCATTGTTAATTTCTCTAGCTTTGCTCACATTCTTTGACTTCCTTTGATAGGAAGTCCTTTGTCTGACTTTCATCCTTTATAGTTTAATTCTTCCTTCCTATACTTTGCTTGTTAGTCTTACCAAACATTACAATATTCTATTATATCCATAGGCAAAATATTATAAAGCTTCACTCATAGGCCTCTCCATGACAATTTATATTCCATCTGTCTCCATGGCAAAAAAGCACAGCATTTGAACATCTAGCAGATGTTCAAGACCTGTGTGTTATATTATGTAACAGGCCAGGTATCATTGGTAGGTGCCTGTCATCTCAGCACTTAGGAAGTAGAGGCAGGAAGTTCAACATTTTAAGACATTTAAGACCCTTTCTTTAAAAAAAATGTATGGATGAAAAATCATAAAATAGATTTTTTTAAAGTTTTTCAAAATTATATTCACTTTATGAGACCTAAAAGTCTACCTCCACAGTGAGACACCCACTCCAACAAGGCCACACCTCCTAATAGTGCCACTCCTTTTGGTGGCCATTTTTTTTCAAACCACCACTTTGAACAACCTTCATATCAATTGCTGATCTATACCAGTAAATTCCCCACGAGATGGGCTGCACCATTTTTCTGTGCCAATCACAAGATGGAAAATTTTTTGTTTCCTTACCACCCACCATGACAGTAGAAGACACTGCAAAATTTCAATATGAGTTCATTGGGTACAGGGCAGCTTCAACTACTGTTTTATATGTTATATTTCTTTGTGTGTATTTGTGCCATCTAAGTACATGTCTGGGTACCGACACAAAAGAGACAAGAGAAAGGCATCTGGAATCTTGCTCTAATATTTTCTGCCTTATTTTCTTGACCAGTATGCAAGATCTATTCTGGCAAACGTTGTGAAGAATGAATCCAAGTCTTAGTGTCTCTCTGGCTATTGTAACATTACCATTGGATATTGTTTTGTATTAAATATATCACAGTCCTGTTCTCCAGCTTGAGTATCTTTTGAATATACATTGTAAATTTACATGTAACTATGTCTATGTCCAATTTAAAATCTGCTTATTTGTTGTTTTCCACATACTAACAGTGAAGTTCAAGTTATTATGGCATGATAATATCTTCAAATAGCTTGCTAAGAAAGTTTTTGCCCTTTGGCTGGTGGGAAATTTGGTAGGAATAAGCTGACCTTGAACTTGGAGCAATTTTCCCAATTCTGTCCCAAACACTAGCATATCAGGTTTATGGCCTTGAATCTGACATTCCTGGTTATTCTCTTATATAATCTTTATTATCAGTGACCTAGCTCCAGAAAAAATAAATAAATAAAAGAACCGTTTAAGCAATCAGTAACAAAATTTAATCAATTTGTGTTGTTTAAAAAAATTTACCTTGGACAGAAACTTTACTAAAAGTGAGACATCCTAGGTACCATTTGATTAATTTGAGTATCTTTTGGTTATTTCAATAGTACTTACAATTGTTTTCTCCTAAAAGTTTTTCAATTGTTTTATATGAGTGTTTTGCCTGCATGTATTTGTACTACATGCATGCATAGTGCTCAGTGGGGCCAAAAGTGAGTATCAGAAACCTGGAAAAGAAGTTTTTGACATTTGTGAACTGTCATATGTGTGCTGGGATTGAACCTGGATGTTCTAGAAGAAGAGTCAGTGTTTTAATTTTATTTTTTTATTTTTTTGGTTTTTCAAGGCAGGGTTTTTCTGTATTGCTTTGGAGCCTGTCCTGGAACTAGCTCTATAGACCAGGCTGGCCTTGAACTCACAAAGATACACCTGCCTCTGCCTCCTAAGTGCTGGGATTAAAGGCATGCATCCACCAACACCCAGCCATCCAGCAGTTTTAACTCCTGAGATATTGTTGTAGTTCCTCTGACTTAACTGTTAAGTGTTCCTTAGGTTCTGTCTCAGTGAGGGCAGATGGTTTTGCTGCTTCATATACAGCTTTTATTTTCCATGTATCTTCTCATTGGCTTTTATCTATGCATATGAAACTAATATTTCACCTAATTCACTGGATTCCAACTTTTTATTACAAAAATTTTAAACAGAAATCAAAGTTAAAATAAATTTAGAGTAAGTCTGGCAATTATATCTTAGCATCATTTTATTGTTGTAAGGCCATGTTTATTGTGCTAACATTACCATCTTATTTTATATGCCTATTCATTTTTAATATTAATTTTCTAACATGATACTTTGCAAATTTTTCCTGTTTTTATAGAACTCAAAAAAGCAATATTGGAGGTATTACAACCACTATAAACTCACACTATGAAATGACTTTAGTCCAATAATATAGGAGAACAGTTTCTAGCAAGCTTTAATATGGACATTTATCCCAGAAAGAACAATTTGAAAAATAATAGAACTGTTTTTGGTAATGAAATATTTTATTGCTGGAGAAATAGTTCAAGCTTTATGTCTTTCTTGGAGAGTCACCAGGTAAATTAACATATTAGAAGCTCTGGGAAGGCTTCAGGATTAGATTTGTAAGACTCACAGAACTTGAAAAACATAGCCTTGTTATAGGGAACCAGATATAGGGAGGTTATTTACCAACAACCAAAAGTATCAGGTAGATACTTTTGTGGCAAATGATTTTCCTACTGTGGCAATTGATTATATCACTGTGATAAAACAGTTTGAAAAAGACAGTTTAATAGAGAAAAGAAGTATGTTGTCTCAGTTGTAGAGACCAGTCTGTATGACCCCCTGTACTTGAACAATATATCATGGCTGATGAGGCCTGTGGCAGATAACAGGTAGTCCCATCAGGGTGATGAAGAGAGTGACAGAAAGTGACCAGGGATAACACACTCCCAAGAACCTGTTCATGGCAACCTTCATCCTCCAGCTAGGTCCCATCTTTCCAAGTCTCCAGAATTATACCAAAATAGCATCACAAACGGCACTACAAAATTGAAATGTAAGCCTATAGAGGTGGGGGGTGAGGTTTAAAATTTAAACCTCATCAGGCAGTTATGAGTATCTGCTAACTT